TGTTATGGCAATCATTGGAAAAACAGGTGGGACTATAGGTGCCTCGCTCTGAAGTATTCGGGACAGCCACTTTAATTTCATCACTATAACTGATTCCTCAGTGTCGAACGATTTTTTTTTAACTCTCCCTACGTATTCCGCACCTCCGTTTCGAGAACTACAAAAAAAGAAAGAAGAAAGGTCACCGTGCTTGCTAAATAGAAATAGTGGGCCAATCTTATATGAGACACTTTTTCCATACCAGAGTAGCTTTCTCTCAGTCTAGCTTTCCAGACAGTCTGTCTTTGCCGACAACAGCAGCTATTTTCCCCAGGTGACCGAGTTTTATATTTCCATTTACAACGTATTCTAAACCATCCCGGAAGGCTACAACACAACTATTCTAGAAGAATAATCATATTTATATAAACTAATAAAACGTTCAAGCAAAATTCCATGGTGTGACATCAGAAAATTCGAGTATCCAAGTCACCGTGACCGGGCGTTCTAGAAATTCAAAGAAATTACTGTTTTACAGTCATTTCCCAAATCATACATCATGATGCTTAGAGTGTAAGAAATACGAACTAGAAAAGCTTAAACAGAAGCAGATCGTGGCCTTATGTTGCCCTCCTTATACTTCGCTTCTCTGTAGCTCTCCAATAAAACTCGTCTAAGGATCAATTCTTCTTGGCGACCTTGACAGGTCCTCTTTTTGTTCTTGACATTTTTGTAGCAAGCCGTAAGGTGAAATCGGAACTCTGCGAGCGCTTCAACGAGTGAATTTAGTAGACCAGAAACTACTGAGAGAGCCGCCAGACTTGGCAAAGATAGCGAGTAAAGAAGAAACCAGAGGCCATTCAGAGAGTTTCCCTTTCCCTTCAGCAAATTCCACATGGGAACATAGTCACCATACCCAATGGTAGAAAGTGTAGCAAACCATGCGTACAGGCCTTCGGTAAAAGTCCAGCCCTCCACATACTTTTGTGTGAGTCCACCAGCACATAATGTCAAAAACATCAGAATTGACGTCAAGAAAAAACTTTTCAATTTTATGTTTGTGGGTCTCTCTCTGCAAAGCACTCTTTTCTCTATTACGCATACGATTCTGTGAACAATCCTTGAGACTATCTCTCCAAACGTTTTCAAGGTGAGCAGTGATATTGGAAGCCCAAAAAGACAGTAAAGTATAGTGAGTAATTGACCGAGTGACGTTTCTGGAGTAATATGGCCATATCCTGGAATCAAAGATAAAAAAAAAAATTAATAAAAACATGACTCAGCACAATTGGACGAATTGATGGACTGACTTTCTGCTCCTACCTCTTACTGTCAACAATAGAGTTAATTTTCTTTTCTATCTTTCAGCGAGACAAAAAAATGTTATGATATGCAGGACTTCAAGACTGCAGCTTGAAAATTATGCAGTATGATATATTGCCCCTCTTAAGTGCGGCAAAAAGGGAAAAGTTTTGGAGATATGTTAAGTTCTGGGTCATCATCAGCGAAGAAAGAAACGAAATTTAGTCAAAATTAAAATTAATCTGTAAAATTACCCAATAGTTAACGGTCATGGTATAATTTCGATCGTTTCATGTAGATCGCAATGAACAAATGGAAGATCCCCCTCACCCCCCAATCCTCTCCCCCTCCAAGAAAAAGTTATAAAGAAGATCATTCTAACAGATTAATTTTTCTTTGGTAAATAACAGTGGGTCCATCGAGGCACCAAGATAAAAGCTTCTTGGGAACATATATCGAAGATGGGGGAGTCATGCTACTTGTAACTAACGGAATTAAAGTCAGCATCTAGCCAGTAACCTACCAATTGTTGTCAAAGTTGTTATTGTGAAAGTCATACCAGTGAAAATACCCCAATCCGGTTTAGTTCCCACATGAACGGCATCAAACGCTTTCTGCACGAAGCGTCGAAAATGACTTTCGTTAATTGAGATGTTGTACTTAACTGCGAATCCACGCTGAAGCTCCCTCAATAGCCTTGAAGACAATTCTTGGTTTCTTTCAGGCTTTCTTTCAATATAGTAAAATAAACAGCCCCCAAGGAACACGTAGACATATAGAAGAATTCCTCTCCAGAGACTTTTCTTGAGAAGTTCCTTCATGGTTTTGTTGTTTGTAATGCTTCCTACTCATAAAACGGTAGAGAATCGTATTAAATGTATTTTATTGCCAAGTTAATTAATACCTTAACTAAGTCAACAAATATCAAAATGCAACCTCGTTGGAAACGTCAAAAGAATGCATTTGAAAATATACTCACCCCCGATTTGATATCTATCAAGAAACGTATTAATTTTATCCTCTCTTGCATTTATCTGGTTGAGTTGAATAACAGGAAAAACATCGGTGAAATGGTAGGAATTTCATATCTTCTAAGTATAGGAGAATTCAACCTATGAGTGAAAAAAAGTTTATCTCAATTTTTCTTTGACCTAGATCATTGTCATTTTATTAAATGTCAAATCAACATATCCCGTACTTACGCTTTGACACTCACGACATCAAAGCTTTGTAACCGAACGGTCTTTTATCCATTAAAACCGACCCCCTTGCATCTGTCACATTTAATGCATTCAAAGTGTTCATGAAAACCTTTTGTACATGTATTTTTAAAGAATCGAAATCGAAAGATATGTCAAATAAAATAAATATGCATCTTTTAGAAACTACACTCTTCACTTCAAATACTAACTTAGCTCCTTAGATAAACAGATGCCCATGTTGTGGGCATCTGTCTCATTCCAGTTCATTTGTACTGTAACCAGGTAGATTTCATAGGAAGCAAGTCAGATATGTCCAATAATTTTTCGCGACGTGTCAACTGCTTTCAACCTCAGTGACTTCATGATATTTTGAGAAACAGAAAGATTGACAAAGAAGGGGAAATATGGACAAAGATGGTTAAAGATCGAGAGGATTAGAAAGGATTGCGTTTAACGAGCTAAGAAATTTTCCGTAGGTCACAAGACGTAAAGGAATTATCTTAAACGAAATGCATCGAGCATGCCTTCAGTCTGTCGATCTCCTTTAAACGTAAAACACCAACGTATTTGAGTTGTAGTTAACATGTAAAGAAACACTTCCATATTTGAACCAGCATTCGTCGTCTGTTTAAGACCAAAACATGACCTTGGGCTAATCAAAGAAAGTTGTGGAAGATAAACGTTTGATAGACAGGATGTAATATCCTCACATGTCTGTCAAAAATGAATGTTGAGCCAATCGCTGAATTAGTGCTGCCAGACTACATGAGCAATAAACAAACAAAGAGGAATAACAATAGGACCTGAAAAAGATTCAGGCTCCTACGGGATTTGAACCCATGACCTCTGCGATACCGGTGCAGCGCTCTACCAACTGAGCTGACAAGCCGGTGCACTTCACCGCAATGCAAAAATACGAATTTCGTATATCTATAATCATTATTCATCACTTGGATGGTTTATTTGGACCCAACACATTGACCAGCTCCCAGTTCGCTTGTTAAGCTCAGTTGGTAGAGCGCTGCACCGGTATCGCAAAGGTCAGGGGTTCAAATCCCGTACGGGTTTGAATTTTTTTTTCAGGTCCTGTTGTCAACTACTAGTTCAGTTGTGTTCTTGGCTGCAAGGATCTCTTAAAATTTGTTTCTTCACCGCAGTGCAAATATATGAATTTCATATATCTAAAATCATTAAAGAGGAATGAGTTGTTTCAAATGAAGTGTCTATCGCACAGGATGCCTATTGTTCTCGTGATATTTATTTGCATTAACGAAAAATTACAGATCTGGGCCCAGTTGTAAAAAAGGCGAATGACGCTACCCAGCGGATAAATCGCTATCCGGCGTTATACAGCCTTCGAACAACCGGGGCTTATAATATTAGCAGCGAAGCGTAATCTGGAGAGCTTTGATCGGTCAAAGATTAGGAGGGCTTTCCTCCCCAGGGAACATTCCTTTAGCTCATTAACTGTTCAAGGCCGAGAAACAATAGCTTAGAAGGTTATTGTGCCTGCTATTGTTAGAAAAAATCACACATTACGTGCATGTGTTGCAAGCTGGATGAGTGTTCGATTTTGAAACCATTCGATTTAGAAACCATTCGATTTATCTCTTTCTACGTAGTACTAAACAAACACTTCGGCTCTGTCATTACCCGTTTAGGATTCGATTCTCACTGCAAAAATCCACCCGCACAATTTTTCTTTGATAGTAAGGACGTAATGAAATATAAAAGTCACTTTGACACTTGTTTCTTCGAAATGAGAAAAAAAAGTCACACACTGCGTTAAGTTGAACTCTCGTAGGGACAAAATGTACCGCCTTACAATTCGGTTTTCTCGTCTCTTGTGTGGGAGGCCAGGCTTACACCCCAGTTTCACCAAACTAACTTGCGGGTTTTCGAAGATTTCGACAAGACTGCGAAAGTCTCTAAATTGCTACAGGGCCTCTCCGTTCATTTTGAGATAAAAGAGTAAATCAGAGCCTCCGATCAAGGGTGAACAAACATGAAGAAAGGCGGGATTGGCCGGGGATTCTGGGAACTCTTAAGAGAACTCCCGATCAACCTGCTGCATTTCTTGGACGGAACACATCTCGATCATTGGCGTCAGGGAGAAAAGTTTCTCATAAATGAGAACAAGGCTGTAGTTTGAGAAAACTTGCAATAGTGCGCACATAATAGTCTCAACAAAAGCCAATGAGAACGCAGTTGCCAACTGTTAGGTTACAATTTACACAATTGTAAACCATAGCTTTGTACGTCCTTTTTTATTTACCAGTGTCAAACACTATTTACGCGGCATTGGCTAGTTTCGTTCCTCAAATGTCTTTACACGAAAAAAAAACCTGTCGTTTTTATCTTTGATTCCTTTTTATAAAGTTGTTGTAAACCGTTTATTTTAGCTCCTCTTGATCAATGTCAGCCTATAATTTCCCTTCTTCAAAAGCCATATGATAAAGTTGTGTGTTCAAAGTTATTTGAGTGAACACAAGAAAAACATGCACCCTTCTGATGACTTTCAGGCCATGTTCTCTCTTTGTGTCGTGGATGTGTCGCGGCATTCTAATGATTTTCATTAGTGAAATATTTGGGTCTTTCTTGTCACATATTCGTGCATCAGTCATTTTTCCAAGGATATAGGTCAGTAATGAATCATATGTGTCAATTATATTTATCTGTGTATTGAAATTAAGTAGTTCGCACCGCAGTGTGTAAAAAGGATGAAGTTTAACCGTAACTTAAGCTGCACTAATTACTCACTGAATGGAATTGACACAAACTCCACACAAACGACTAGAGAACTCATCAACATTTTTTGTTTTAATTATCTTTAATGAGACGACTAATGCCCTAAAGGCCAACTGCATTAAGCGAGTCTTGGCTGTGCTCGTGGGGTGCGGGAAAAAGAGGACTCATAACGGCTGTAACTTATACATTTTCATGATTTGCACCCACATTGCTAATTTAACTTGGCAATGAGGTGCTCTGATAAAAGCAAAAGAAAGAAAATCTGAGAAAAAGGTTTATTCTTATGCAAAGTTATTTTCAAAACTAATCGGTTTTTTTAGAGGGGACCAACCACCATTTAAATAGAAAAGATTACGAACTTCGTCCATTTTCGTGAGATTTTGTTCGCACATTGTCACGGCAGCTGTGTTTATGTGCCACCGATTGCCGCTAGAATATATTTAAACATCGAATAAAATGTCAATCGTGTTACGATTGCCCGAAGAACAACATTTATTACAATATGCTTCGAAAAGGAGTTTTCAAACTCTCATTCTCGTACACAAGTGTTTACAAACTTTAAATGTACCTGGAAACATTTTATTTTGTTCTTATTCTAAAAGAAAGAAAGTCGCTTGAAGGATTTGCTCGAATATAACAGATAAGCGGGTTTTATTTTCAATATTGGCTAAAATTACGAGGAATTTGTGGAATAAGCCCATTTGATGCGTCTAGTTTGCTACGTGGTTAATAATGAGAAAAAGTAAGTCACCACAATGGTTTTTCACTCACCTTATTTTTTAACAGCCTGCTTAATCTTGTTGCCGCATTAGATGGACAAACAGCGTCTGATGGCACGTTTTCGGCACATTTAAGATGTCGGTATTATTCATATTAAGACCAAATGTTTGTATATGACTCATTGACACTTTGAATTATTCATCATAACCACCAGCTTATTCATTTGCATCGTCAAAGGTTTTTTAAAAGTTCTCTTAATTGCAACGTAGTGGAGAAGCAAGGAAAAGGTTTGAAAATTGTTAAGATTAGGTTCGTTCCAAGTTCAGTGACTTACGGATTACTATGAAGAATAAATTGGACTAATTTGATTTACATTTAATTATTTTCATCACCATTCCTGATACTTTCGTATATTTTTTTTCTTTCTATTACTAAGTAATGTGGTAATTGCTATCATTTTTTTTTTGAAACAAACTAACGTGCAAAAATTGCCAAGCAATAAAAGACATTACCATGGAAAAGTCGGTAAAACAAGAGAAATACTAATCTCGATCGTTATAAAACATTCTTGTTAAAAAAAACTGTATCCTAGTGCGTCTTAAAATGTATTTGGTCGACTAAACAGTAGTCGATCTTTCGCTTTCGCTGCAAGCGTATAGGGACTCGACTTTTCTGTGTTTTTCTTGTGTTGCACCACCTGCAGACTTTTTCTTCTTGCGTTTTCCTTTAGATTTCTCAGACTTTCTCCTTCTGCATGCAGGACATCGAGAACAAACGTTACATTGTATTTTGAATTCATTATAAGCTTCAACAAGTGAATTAACCACACCTGAGACTACACAAAGTGTTGCCATACCGGGGAGGGATAGTGCTGTTATCAATATCCAAATGTCTGCTGCAGAGTCTTCGGCATTTTTCAATATTTTCCAACCAGGAACGTAGTCGCCGTATCCGATGGTGGAGAGTGAAGCAAACCATGCGTAGAAGCCTTCTATGAAAGTCCAACCTTCCAGGTATTTCCCTGCTAGAGCACCAATACATAACGTCAAAATCATCAGTGTGAAAGTTATGAAAAAGGTTTTTATCTTAACCTTCCGAGGTCTTATCCTAAAAAGTAATTTTGTCTCCACACGATAAACGATCTTATATACCATCTTGGCGATTAGTTCTCCGATTGACTTCAAAGCCAGCGTTGATAATGGCAGTCCCACAATGCAATAAATGACGGTGAAAAATTGTCCAAGTTGTGTTTCAGGTGTTATGTGTCCATAACCTGGATGTAAAGACAAAGAAAAAGTGGATGTGATTGGAAATAATGACGTCCACTTCGACCTTATAGAACTTGTGCAATCCGTTTTCTACAGTTTCCTATTGTACCACAGCAGCCTAGCTGCTAGGGTATAATAGGACAAAATAATTTTTAAAAAATGAATAAAAGCTAAAAAAATCTCCCTCTAATATGTCGAGTATTTGCTCGTCTATCTTTGCGGAGGCTTACTCAATTACACTTTGAAAATTTGAATACATTAGGCACACGCGAGTGCTTAAGAGTTGAGTAACAAATGTAAAAATCGCGTGCTATTAACCCATAAGAGTTAAAGCCGGTAAATTAAAGGCGTTTTATAGTAAAACACAAGTTTGTTGCATATTGTTATTTTGCGCCTAGATTTTTTGGCATCTGGTTGCAATTCTATTCACAAACAAATAGATATCACGTTGGAGTTAGTTCTCGCCAGGAGCCCATTGGACTCCTGGTTCTCGCTTTATCTTTTTTTCTGGCGTGTAGAACTAACACCCATAGGTGGCCTATGCGTCCTTCCTTGGACCAATAGTTGATATGCATATGGCTACTGCTATGCATAATTTACGCAGCCAGTTGCTCTGCCACTATTATTACTTCAACCACAGCAACTTCTCCTACCACAAACACAACTTATTGAAATTCTTTATTACGTCACTTACCAATTGTGGTTAATGACGTCATCGCAAATGAAGTACCGGTTAAAATTCCCCAATCTGCTTTGTTGCCATTTCTTACAATCTCGAAAGCTGTCTGCATAAACCGTTCGAAATCACTCTCGTTCACGGATATATTAAATCTTTTTGTAAAGTTACGTTGGAGCTCGTGCCTAAGTCTTGTATAAGCAATCCTGCTCCTTTCAGGCTTGTACTCAATGACATAGAACATACATCCTCCAATAAAAGCATAGACGTATAGAAGAATAGTTCTATGAAGACTTCTCTTAACAAGCTCATTCATCAGACTGTTTTGAACCTCTTTCACTAAAGTAGAACAAATGACAAGGTTAAATTTTTAATGAGGGCTATAGCATGTCAAAGATCAGTGCCGATTCCATTTTCGTCCACGAGTGAAAATAAATGTAGGAAAACTGAGAGGTAGATCGAGCAAGCTGATGTTGATATGTTCTGGTTAATATCTAGCTTACAGACTCATTGGGTACACACAGGTCATTACTTTCTCACCAAAATGGAAATCGCCGAAAAGTCTGGATAGCACTAGATATGTCACGAATTTAAGAAAACATACGACACTTCTAAAAACATGTACAAAGTTGAATTTAAAGTGTATAACAAAATATAAATGTTATTGGAAAAAACAAACAATAGAAACAGAACAATGTTGCACTCTATGTTCTGATGAGTATTTTAGCAACGTAGATCACGCTTCCATAACTCTCCCACTTAAAATCGATAGGAGCAATCTACATATAATCATCAACTTTATCACGTTAATTTAAAACTTTCCTTGCAATTGCATACATTGTTCTGTTTCTGAAGATGACAGAAGAACTGTCGAAACATGTTTCTAAAAATGTCGCATATTTTTTTTAAATTAAAATTAATTATTTTGATCGTTCGAAAAACAGGAGAATACGAGTTCAATCTACACCGGCAAAGAAAAAGAAACAAATCAAGACCATAATTTATGCTTTCTATTGTGTCCCCCAACTTTCCCATTTGTCGTCCATCAATTTTTTGCTTTTTGATGTCGGGAACACACTCGAAATACATTGGACAACAGATCTTTTTCGGATTTGGAACAATTTTTACATACGAGCGGCAGAACCTGCGTTTGATAGCGCACTAAAAGTATGGATGAATTAAAATGAACCATTCATTACGTAGTCCATAATCGTAGCGAAATACAGTAACAAATATACGTATCATCGTTTTTCTCCGGAAAGATATAACTTCGATCCCTGTTTTACGAAATACTTACGTTCTTCAAACTCTTCTTCCTCAAATTTCTTTTTCTCTTTCTATGAAAAAGAGACGAAGACTGCAAAACAGACACCAATACTAAGTTCGCGATCGAGTTTGGATTAACTGAGGTTTATCTTTTGTCATAAGTCTTTTTTAACAAGTTCATCTTTACCCCTTCGTCTACATAAGTAAAAATGTAGTTCTGAACTGTCTTGCTATCAAACACAGTATATGTCTACGGCCAGCAGACGTTGCTCACCAGTTAAGCAAGAATTAAGACTCCCTGTGAGTGTTGCAAATTTACATGTGTTTATCCAAAAGAGCCATGAAAGACAGAATCAAGCGCAGTCTTCGGCAAAAATTACCTGTATCCTGTGGTGAGAAAAACAATCCCGGTGACCGAGTGGTTTGCTTGTATCGGGGTTTCTTTTTAGAGAATTGATCGATGCTTCAATGCAGCCTATCAGACAATCGAGTAGGATCATCATATCTCATTAATTTCTACACAGACAGTTTTTATGCTTTGATTTTCTCGATTGACTAAAAGTAGACCACTCGAGGCCTCTTCAAACGAGGTTAATAATCGAGCTGTCCTGGCAATTACGACTGTTTACCTTGGGGAAATATCAACCTTAAAGGTAGGCCAAGCCGAATTACTGGGCTAATTTTTCAGCGCGGATGACATTGTTATGGAAATTTTTAAGCTCGGGTACCGAGATGGGAGCAAGACGGCGCCAGCAATTCAAGTTTCCCCCGAGCAAAAGAGATAGCAGTCGCAGAAACCCATTTCTTTATATCAAAGGAAGTATTTTTGAAGTCAGCCTAGCTCGCACGGTTTGCGCAACGGTTGCGTTAAATAACTTATATGTACAGGTTCTGAGGTACTCGATTGCCACAGACCAATTAAAAATGATATACATTCTTAAATCTTTCTGACTGTCTCTCAGACTTGAAATAAAAGCTGTAAACGCAATCCCCAAGTAGAAGAACGTTTCTATTTGTTCTGCGGTTGGTAAAAAGCGTGTTCACAGGTGTGAGAGACCTTCAGTTTGAGCCGGAATAACCATCATCAACATTTGATTAACAGCCCTTTTGTTTTTCCACCTGCCGTGGAAAACCTCAAAAAATCCCTGCGACGAACATTATAGAAAAAAACATTGGCCTCTAGCCATCATACTAATGTGTTCCTTCGTTTATCTCCAATTTAACAGTACCCTTGTCTTCACAAAAATTGATTATTCCTTGTATTATAATCACAAATTAGCGAAGAAGAACGCCGAGCGACGAGTTTCCTGCTAAATGATTTTCGCATAACTTTATCCAAGAATCTGTACCATGGATACAGCTTTCGTTTGAAATTTGCAATGATTATTCGGCAGTGTATTTATTGCTAAATACGAGTTAAAAATTTTAGGAAAAAAACGGAAAGTGTTAATAACATTCGCTCGATTGAATTTGCCAGTCCTTTTAATGAATTCATGCGCAATACAAGGCCCATCACCTGAGAGGCAATAACTGCAGTAAATTTTTGTAATCTTCGTCGACAAACACATACCTGAATTTTAAATCGGTATTAATCCAGAAACCACTTGTTTAGTCCAAAAGCGAATGTTAAAGGCTGTTCCTGTTTACTTCTTCTCGAATTTATGCAACAACCTGTTCGTGTCACGCTATCAAAGATGACATTCGTTAAGAGTCGCTAATATTCACGAATCGTTCAAACATTACTTCAATTGAATGCGGCAGTTAAATTATTCATCAAACCCACTAATGTTTTTAATTGCAGTGCCACTAGTTCTTTGTTTATCTATGGTTTGTTCACGTAATTATCGTTATGGTAAAATTGCGAACCAAACTTACAAACTTCCAGTTTCATTTTACGGGGATATTTGCCACGGATTTGTCTCATGTTGTTTTTTTCATTACCTGTTGAATATCACTAGTCAGAGTTCTGTCAAATATATAACTTAAACAACACTTTGGAACTACCACTTTTATTGTCATTTGCATGTTGGTCGATCTGTGATCTCTATATTAGTCTATCTTTTTGTCTTCCGCTGTGGGGAAGATCTATTAACCATCTTTAAAGAATCGCTCTAGTAAATGACCTTCCTACACTGACATATACAAACTTTGGTCATAGTCATGTGCAAATGGCTCATAAGGACAGGTGCAAATAGCAGATTAATCTCTAATTCGCCGCGCACGCAAGTTTCCAGTCGCACATTTAAACCGCTTATCCTGAGAAGCGAACCTATTCATATTTAATCTGAGAGACTCTCCACAGTGAGGTGCCATTAAAATTTGCCGCTTCATCTCTTATGAATAGAATATGATATCTAGGCTTTCTTCCCGATATAATGTAGGTTTATTTTAAAACAAAGTTTTAACTCGTGATTCAAAAAAGTTTACTCCCTCTTCTTTGGATGGAAAAAAATCCGAAGTCCGATGTGTTAGATCTCCAGTGAGTTTCGATGGTACAAGGCTGATAAGCGGTTAAAAGTAATTCAACGCTGAACTGAGAAAGCACTGGATTGTAGTGTTTATAATCCTAATTTATTAGTCTATAATAAAAGCATGGAAGACCGATATGAATTTAATAAACGAGTAAGATGAAGTTTTCTTTTGGCCAATGAGAACTGAGATGAAATGGAGGCCATGAGGCCAACCTTGAAACTTATCATGATGTTTAAGGCCCGTATGATTAACACATATGCGTAATTGACCAAGCGTGAAGTCAAGATGGCTGGATATTGGCCGAGTTCCTTTTCTGAATTTCTCTAGACCTAGACGAAGTCGAGGTCCACAAGAATGCACGGAAAAATAGGACGAGGCGAATATCCAGGCATCTTGACCAAACAAGTTTGGTCAATGAAGGATTTATTACATAGCAAAAGATTTCGCTTAATTAAGAATCAAGAATGACTTGTTTATCTCGAGAGCCGGGAAAGAAAGCCAACTGTGACGTGCCTACAAGCACAATAAGCCCACGAGAGTTGTTTACGCTTTCTGTATACTTGCCTTGTTCGTTTATTTTGTCATCTGCCGCTTTTCGCGTCCCCATAGCTGACTTTTTCCAAGAATTACGAACTTTATAAGTCCGCTCCATGCAATGTTTTTTCTTGATGTGGATCAAAGCAAGTAATCCCAAGCGGGAGAGATGTGCCCTCCTCGCCCGCTTGGGTAGGCAATCGAAACACAGGATTCGCTTTATATTGCCCTCTTTCGCTGCCAGAGATATAATAAATGTTATCATGTTTGAAAGATCTAATCAGTTCGTGTGTCATTTGAGAAGAGTGTTTACTGCTCTAACGTTCCCATTGGAAACGGCTGGCTCTCCATTAAATGAAAATTAAAAATCTGAATTTTACGATTCCTTATTTTATAGTTAGTCTGCCTTTTAAGGAATTTGCTTTTTTTGCATCTTAAAAAAGCAATAATCAATTTTCCTTTTTACAAAGTGGCCGATCGCGCTCTTCTGGAACCGCAAATTACTTCGTTGCTATATGTACTTCCAGTTTCCATTATCTTGTTATGATGCCCAAGAAAGAGATTCCGAGCGTTCGATTTGATTTTTAACTCTTCAATGGTTTCAGCGAGTGAGTTTAAAAAACCAGCAACTACACACAGAGCTGCCATGCTTGGGAGAGCTGAAATAAAGATGATCAAAACAAGATTTAACTGAGATTTTGGATTTGAAGATTCTTCAACTTGTAAAAGCACACTCCATCCGGGAACGTAGTCACCGTAACCCAGAGTGGAAAGTGTAGCGAACCATGCGTAAAAGCCTTCTACAAAAGTCCAACCTTCCACATACATTCCTTCTAATCCACCGAGACAAACGGTCAGAATCATGAGAGCAAATGTCACAAAAACACTCTTCTTTTTAATGTTTCGAGGTCGTGTCCTGCTAAGCAACTTTGTCTCGATTGCGTAAACGAAGTCATAAACCAGTTTGGAAACCATTTTACCCATTGTCTTCAGAGTTAGCATCGTCAGAGGAACACCAAGAAAGGTGTATAAAACAGTGACG